TTTATTTCTATCTGCTTAATTAGATACCACTTGCAATTTGATAATTAATAATTAAACAGCACAGAATAAACGAAGCCCTCAAACATAATTTGATCAATAATTTTGATTAATATTACCAAAAAAAAACAAAATTGTAATTAATCATTAATATAATTTCAAACAATAACATTGATTTTATCAACCCTTTTATAGAAATGGAATGTATTACCCAGTTTCTCTACAAACTGACTTTGGATCTCGTTAATTCCCTGATCAATAATTTTGATTAATATTACCAAAAAAAAACAAAATTGTAATTAATCATTAATATAATTTCAAACAATAACATTGATTTTATCAACCCTTTTATAGAAATGGAATGTATTACCCAGTTTCTCTACAAACTGACTTTGGATCTCGTTAATTCCCTGATCAAGTGGTCGAACGTGGATTGTCAACGAGAAGTTCGCAGAGGGGTTTCCAGAGCACGGGACATTGTTGTTACGTGGATAATTCAACTGTACGCGTCGTTGGACAACCGAGTTGTCCCGCGAGTAAACGCGCGAGAGCTCGCCTCGATTATTAACGCCGGTAATTCCGTTTTATCGACGATTGCCACTCTCGAGGCGAACACCCTCTCGCGCGACCAGCGGGCCAACACCGCCATAAGAGACCCCATGAGTAATCCGCGAACGTCGGCTAATGCGGTGAAATATTAAGTGGCCTGGCCAGTCGTTTTTCTGGGGATGTACTGAAGCCGGTTAAGATTGCAAACGGCAAGCTCAGCCAGTTGAATCTCTTCCTTCCCCTTTTTTTATTCCTGCCCCTCCATTGTATTGTCGCTGAATCCCGGATGAAATATTCGGAAGCGTGAGAAGCTTCTAAGCCGGAAGCTTTGTGCTCCGAAAGGTCTATTAATGTTCTTTGTCCGCTTTATCATAGATAATCGTTGGCTATTGTTTCTGACCGATACGAGCAACCTTTTATGTACTTTTGAACGAAACAGAAAAGAATCAAATAAGAAATGATACATAATTTGACTCGAGGTTGCAACTAACAAAGAATGCAACACTTCGGAACTGTTTTTCATAACACGGCGATATAAATTCAAGGTTTAAGGATGGGGCATAATGAAATTCCGAGCAGGCCACAGGGACGAGAAATTTTCGCAACTGCGTTTTTCCTCGAATTTAATTAAAATTTTTCTCCGGACGCTTTTACCTGGATCTGTTTTTTCCATTTCGCATTAAGACTTTTCGTTCGCCTTTATAAAGGAAATAATCGCGTTAATGGAAGACTTTTAACGGGAAAAATGCAAATAACGAGTGTCTGAGGTGGTAACTCGAAACATATTTGAACAACTGTCTCGTATTTTTCGTGCAAGAAAATGAACACATTTTTCATACATATAAAGAGAATGCCGAAGTTAGTCCAGCTTACTCTAATAAACGAAACGACGTTTGAGAAAATCTTTTCGTTGCCGCAGAAATCAAATCCTTCGCGCGGCAAAAATTAACCCGGGGGTTGTTTAACGGTGTTCTCATTAAGGATAGCGAAACAGAATTAAAACCGTTCCTGCCGGCAGTATTCGCGAAAATCCCTTTTTCCCTCGGCTTATGACGGGAATGCTTGCTGCAACTTAAGAAGCTCAGACGCGCAATGCATTTCTCTATCCCCGATGCACCGGGATGCACTAAAACGAAACGTTCTCTTCTCGCGCGAAATAATTAGGTAAAGCGTAAGAAAGCAGAGCCCTCGGTTGGAAAAGGATGAACTCAACCCTTGCAACGTTTCCAGCCTTAGACTTTAGCTACTTGTGAAGAGAACAAAAATCGTAAAAATAAATAAAGAACAGTTGATAATGATTAACTAAAAGATTCTGATAATAATTAATCAAATAGTGATTTTATAATTATCAAAAGTTTTAATGTTTTTATATTTATTTGACATTAGAAACAATAGTAATAATGTTTATAATTGTTGGGTCTTTTTGGTGAAATTTATAAAAAAGAAAAATAAAAAGAAGGAAAATTAAAAATTACTAAAAATGACTGCTATAAATATTTAAGGACAAATTAAGGCAGTGGTATAATTAATGTACTTGACAATGCAAATATGATCTACGGTAATAATAATAATAATGCAACAATTAATTTTTTTTGTAAATTACCTACATAATAAATAATTTTGTATAATGAATTTTCAGTTGCCAAATCTATAAATTTGACAAATTTTTAAAAAATCTAAAATTGACACTAGACTTTGTTTGTATATATATATAAAAAAAAATGTTTATAACATCAGTTTGATTTGAAAGCGTCCCATTTATCAGTATCAGCGAAACGTTCTCCATACCCCATTTGCGAAACAGAGATATCTCATAGGGGACTCTTCATTAATTTAATTAATTCCTCGAATTCTTTCGACGAATACTTCGTACCGTGGGATCACCCTCGACGATACCTGACACTTCCATTAGAGGTATTGAATTTCGGCAGTGCGTTTTGACCCATCCCGTACCCCCGATCGTCGAAATTCCAGCACCGATTCGGACCATCCGATTCCGACTAACCAGATCCGTTGAGACACGACTGTACCAGCGGCGTTCCAGGGGTGAACGGACCGCCAGTAGCAGCAGCAGCCAGGGCCATTTTCAATTCGAGTGTCGAATAGGAAATTCGATCGACGAGGCTGAACCGAACTTGCCAAAACTCGGAGCATGTTTAATCAATTGTTACTGCCAGGACAATCGGCTCCCCCTTTTCCTTGATCCCAGAAATCCTCTCGATTGCTCGACTCTCGCTTCCGTCTCTTTCGATTTCTACCCCGAGTCTTCGACTCTTTGTACCGTGTCTCGAGCGACAATTCATTTTCAACTTATTCATTTGAAGCAACGAACAAGTAATTAAGACGCGAGCGAAAAAGAACGAGACAAAAGGGGACAGAGAACAGTGTGATTAAAGTAAGATCCTCCGAGTAATTTCTCTTCCGTTTTCTACAAACGGCAGACTTGAAAGAAGAACATTTGTGGTAAATCTACGGTGACACAGGTAGAATTTAATTTGAATGCGGCCAAGGTCCGGGGAAAAATTGTATTCCTCAAGCGAAACAAGATACGAAAGTAAAGTGGCTTTATTCCAAGCTACAAATCTATTTATTAACGTCAAGTTTAAGCGCACTTGACTAAATAAATTTCAATTTTCTTTTAATTAAAATACACCAAATTTTATTAATTCAACCGAGTGATACGGCAAATTGTAATAATCAAATAATTATTAATAGATCCAAAAAGCTATTAATAGATTCCCTATAGATAAAGTATTAGTAGGTGTTAGAATAATTTAATTTGACAAAATTCAAGATCTCGCCATTGGATCGACGTGGCTGTAAGAAAAGTACCGATTGTTGACCAAGAATCAAAGTGTCTAAACTAAGACACCCTTGTTAACCCTAGCAAATCTCTACGCCCTCGATCCTTAGACCATAGGAAGGGGATGAAAGCTCGTTCACGCGTGAAACACACAGGATCACGGAAGAGACAGGTGACTGGCGTGGTAGACTAAAGGCGCGATTTGAGGAAAGCGATTAGCCGACATCCTGTCAAACGCATGCACCCTCTCACCCTCTTAGAAACCTAGAACCTCGTCTTTGTAACAATCGATCCTGATAACGCGGATAAATTAAGGGAAAATTAAGCTGGATGCAAATGGTCTGATTATTTCCCGACATTTTAGCAAAAAACGATAGTAATTCCTTGTCATATGATTCTTTTAGTAATTTTGTCTACCCGAGTATTTCACAGACACCCGAATGACCGGTCCGACTTAATAGCCTTAATAACAGTGTTACATAAAGAAATAAATAGCTAATGAATAAAATAAAAAACTGACGAGATGGCACGCATGCCATTAACGCTCAATAATTGCCCGTTTTTTAGAAGTACCTGCCTCTAGAGGCCCAAATGCTGGGAATTATGGAGCGTTTACTGTATCTAAATAAGAATAACTAAAAGCATCCTGTATAAAAGTAGAGATTCAATAAACTTCGGTTCTTCCATGTACTAAATCGATAAATATCGAGAATGCGTCGCATCGCAAGTTGCAAAATCAGCTTATTACTTCGTTTCTTGGTGAAGTTTACAAAGTAAAAGTTTGCAAAAAAGGCGCATAATAAAGGCGCAGGAACATAAGTATAAACTTTGCTTTACGCTTTTTAACAAGATTATATCAGATTTACATAACCGGAGTTTATCATGTTCTTCTGGAACTTGTTTATAAATCATTCTGTAATTATAGAATAGTTTTATATTAATCGATGCAACTGAAATTTGTAACTACTGTTTAATAATTAACGATCTCGTAGAATAATTTACGGTATCTAAATATATGAATACTGTTTGATATACTGTTAAACGTTTCCTACCTATTTATCTGCGGGTATGTTATTTAGCTAACTAATTACCTCTGAATGAGCGAGTATAAGTAAATTAATTCTATTTAGATATGATTAAAGTGGAATTATAATTCACTTCTACCAATTTGTATTGTTATTTGAAACTTTCAAGCCACGAATAATTTTACGCATTAATTGGAGAACGTAATTGCTCCTAATTTGTCCTCTATTGTTGGAAATACTATTTTATACATGTAGAGAATTCATGGTATTAGATTATTATAACTTCAAAGCTGAATTATTTGCAATTATTACAGTTATTATATTCCAATAAAAAATCATTATTTAGACAGATGGAAATTAACAAAATAATAAACAAAATTTAATTTTAACACAACGACTGCCGCAGTGAAGAATTATTAAAAATGCAATTATTTAATTTGCAGTATTTAATTTTCTAGTTTATATTATTAGTATAATAATAATAAAATAATCCTCTATGGGGTTAAAATTCTCTATAAATTTAACGAAAGTTGGTTATATTAAATTCGTAATGGAGGACACATGGAACTCCAACAGCAGTCAAAGTGTTAAGTAGAAAAATGGATAAAGAAGTTTCTTTCACTTACCCAGCCGCCAGTAGTCAATACTCGTGATATGTCAGACACAGCCCGTCCACAGGAATGTGTTGAAGATTGATCCATATATTTCGATGGAAAATTGTGAAATTCTTTCTCCATTATTCGTGTACGACTGTGGAATCTAAAAAAAAAAACAAGCAGGTATTAAAAAAAATGTAATACTCTAAAACAAAAGTATTTTAAACATTGAATGTCTGATTTGATTGCAAGTATAAATAATGAAATGCTTCATTAATCAATATCTCGACAATTAAAATTCTACTACAATTAAACAATTATTCCAAAATATCAAGAATGGTTCTTTGGGTCACAAAAAAGCAAAATACAGACGAAAGTGTAACAGAAAGTTTGTCACTCGAACAGGAGGGTTAATTAATGATGATGCAGATGGCAGACGCGAAAAGCAACGCGAGCCTCTAGTCAACATCATAAACGCGGATTCGGTTAATGTAAGTATCATTAAACGAGGACGTAACTGACGGCATTTCGATGAACATTCGGGGATGGTTAATGACCATGCGAATCCACGGGGAAGCGAAAATACAACAGTTTTGATCGCGGCGAGTCGCGGCGAACAGCATCGAATATTTTCACCGGAATAAATGTAATGCCGACAATTAACCGTGGCAACGGTTGAACACGATGGCGGATCTGTCGCGTGTTTATTCGACGCTGGTAAATAAACGAGTCCCTGTTATTATGCCATCGCGATATATCGCCATCTGTTTTTCGGCGAACCGACGATGATTTATCGTGAACGATGTCAATAGTCTTTGAAGTCGAACGGAGAGGATTGTTTAGCTGCCACAGATTGATTAATTGCAAATTGGACGGTACATTCATCCCCTGACGCGAGCCAGTTTTTGTTTCCCATGATATGGTGGTGAAAATGGTCAATTATATTTATGTCAGTCAAAAATGGGTTTATTCTTTGGGTATGTTATCTGTGTGAATCTTATCATACCAATCTTGAAACAATACAACAACAAGGGATAACATATTGCATACAAGAGGATTTCTTTGGAATTTTAGCGTTTTATTATTAAAAAGAAATTGATATTATCTTTTCTAAAAAATTACCCTTAAATTTTATTTATACAACGTTTCAATTGTAAGGGTTTTTGTTAAAAAATTTACCTCAGGTATCGAGATAATTATTTTAGTAATAAAATTGAAATTTTTAAAATCCATTTCCTTAAATTTAAAGAATTAATAATTTTATTATAAAAAATAAATTCATTTTTATTCATTATTGAATAGATGGCAATTTTCAACAGTTTGGAACTAAATATTATAAACGATATTCTATTTCAAAAATTTATCTGAAATCTTCTTAGACACCCAGGAATTTACGGCACCCAAGCATATTGAGTTTTCTAATAATATTCTCTAGAAAGATATCAAATTTTTTAAATTCTCATCTTCCACGCAAAGAGAAGGGGATCTGAAGATAAAAGGGACTAGATCTCGTGTAATATTAAGAGCATTTCACGAAGCCATGCGTGAGAATGCACCTAAGTTACATCGTCTATTTTTTATCAGCATCCTGCAGTCCCTTAGAAGTTTCAACCCTTTCCTGAATTGCGGTCTGTGATTCCTTAAGACTCGTTTCGAATATAAATAATAAAAATAGAGACTTTATCTTCATATCCCTTATTTTAATTTAAGGAAAAAGAGAAAGGAAAAGTATTTTTGATTTACTGAAAAAATTTTTGTTTCTCAAATTAATAAAATGGAATTTAATTAATTTTACAATTACCCTACGTTGTTTCAAACAAAAAAGATGTAAACGGTATATATGGAAAAGATAAAAATTTAGAAATGAGAAAGACACTGGATAGAGGGTTGTATGTATAAAGTTGAAATCGAAGATTATTTAAGAAAATTTCCGGTCGGTAGTTGCTTAAACTGGACATTATGATGCTACCTGTGTTACCTGACCAATGTCTGTGGAAAAAACGTATACGCGTCTGTACTTTATCGACAGGAAAACAAGAGGGTTAAATTCATGATAAGGTGTGGGATTCAGGTGAGCTCTCTAGCTTCGACGCACGCGTATAAATATTTATAAGGGACCTGGAAGTTTAGTCCAGATACACAGCTTGTTTTGCAATGATTTGTGTTCTTCCTATTCTACTCTGGTTCTTTGAGTTTCATTGTAACAATAATGTAAAGGGAAAATTATACTTTTGTATTGGAGATTCAATAAAGAATATTTTATGAAAGGAGAAAATTATTCCTACAGTTTTTTTGTCAAAAGTTATGATAGCTGAAGGAAGGTTCAATCTAGGATTTTCATTGTGTTTCAAATTGTAGATAGGATTTTGTGTTATTTGATATTTTAAGAGAGATTTTAGTTGAAGAACATAATATGCAAATTACCCAGATTGTATTGCAATATTCAGAATTATTTTTACATTATTGATGAATAATGTGTATTAAAAAACAGACTGAGTAAAATAAAAATCAATAGGAAATCCTTGATGCTAAGAATAAATTTTGTGTTATCGATGGTGAAAGGTATTGATCCACAGAATGCTCATGGAATTCAGGAACCATTCTACAGAGGGCTGGTTTATATACACAAATCTAATATGATAGAATTTTGCAAGTAACAATTTGTATTGCTACGTTCCTAGATATGAGATCTAAATGTATGCTTAAACATAAAATATTGAAACACTAAAGATACAGGTAACAGATTCTTTCCAACCATTGATTATCATGATTTTATCATCGACTAATAATTTGCCTACTGTTAAACAACTCTGATAAACTCTATTGAAATTATACCTATATTCAATAAGAATACTAACTAAAAATAATATATAAAGTAAATGGTATACTGCTTTACAAGATATAAACCTTAAAGAAAACATTATTGTTATTATCATTTAACAATAAGTAGTAGCTTTTACAAAACATCACTGTATGATTTATGAATAATTGTGAAAATTTTAAAGAAATATTAACATACATATCTTAGAAGTGTTATATGCAATAACCAGTACAATCATTTTATACTTTTCACCACTAATAATTATTGTTTGCAATAGCAAAGCAAATAATTATCACTTAAAAATCAAAATAAGAATATTTATAATCATTATTATAACGATACTAATCATAAAATCAACAATACGGACATGTTCAATGTCAAGGTCAAAATTGTTTCGATAAAAGACTATTTACTGTTCTTAACAACCGACTTTAATTGCAAAAGATAGCTTAATGTCGAGAAAAAAGTAAACTGTGTACTCACCAATGTTAATTGAACATTATATTTGTAGTTTTTCTGCTTTTTCACAAGTTTTCAGCTCACGTGCTTCAGATCCGGGTACCAGTTCAAACCACAATCACATACTGACGCCGGAGACTGAGGGCGTTCTAACAATAAGATGGCGGACGAGTACTGGCGCGCGAATTCAAAATGAGTTACATAGAGACACTACGAAACAAACTGTAATATAACTTTAAATTTCAATAATTAGAAATGAAATTTTGCAACTGAGCTTAAGCCTACATACACTTAAAGGAATTTTGAACATTATTTAATCATTTGATTTTTTATAATAATAAATGTTAAAAATATTTGTATAAAAACAAGTACAGAATGCATAATACTTTGAAATAAAGAATTAAAAATAAGTACTTAAATTTTTTATAACATCAAATATAGAATGTTGTATTATCTACGAGCCATTAGTTTTGTTTCCATTTTAAAAAAACTTTTGAACAGAATATCAATAAAAACAGCAAAAATTAAATTCTACCCTTTTAATTACTTTCAAACGACTATTCAACCTTGAACAGCGAAGCTGAGTAAATCAACACACAAACTTACAAAATATTAGGTCATTAAGTATGAAATGTCCGATTACCTAAAGTATCAAGTTCGACACCTGATATCTCTATTGTTCCACTTTGATCCTTCTTTGCTTCTTCTCTATTGGGGAAGTACGTCTTTAGCTTTCAGACGCACGAAGAAAATCGTACATTTCATACTTAATGATGTAATATATACAAGAAAACTAATCTACAGTTGAATGTGAAATTTTTAAACGAAAAAGTTTCATATATTGTAAAATAATTCAAAATACAAAATTATTAAAATTAGAGCTTTCTTCATGGTCCGCCGTTCGAAGGTTAAGTAATAACCTACAAATTGTACACAAATATACAGCTATATTTTACTGTTGCTTCAAAAACCATAGATACCGGTTATCATAACATTGATACTTCATTCTGTTGCATTTGACGTAATAAAGCGAAATAAGAGGTGGCTGTATTAAATACCTGAAAAGAAGTATCGATTTTATTCTTACACAAATGTTGAAACAATTTAATGATTGTACTTGAACAATAAATCATGAGGAATGAATGAAGAAAAAACTACTTACACTTGTTAAAGTATGAATAGACAATGTCTGAAACGTTAATGCCGAAATACTGCAGTACTTCTGCGATCTGAGGATTATAAGTAGAAGCTGTTTTCTATTAATCAGTGGCAATTTATACCATGGTACGTTCAGATAAGCTATCTCCCCTACTTGCTGACTTTCCTGAACCAAAATTGCACCAGGCCAGCACCATAATAAAAGTTGTATCATCATCGATAATAAGTAAGAGATAAATTTAAATAAATCGGCGTTTGAACCATTACTCATAACTGCGAATCCACTTAAACAAATTTCTATTCCACTCGTGAGGAGTTGCAGAAAAATGATGGGGGTTAATAAATCATTAACATCATTCACCAGACTGGAAAAGTAATGATACAGTTAAATGTTAGAAATAGTATTTTAATGCTTACTTTATTAATCGTTGATGATGACGAATACACTTGATTAGATCCGTTGCCAAATTCCCCGAACGATCGGATATATAATTAATAGAATGACATCTTATTTCGATCCCAATATTACTAATCCACCTGCTGATTAATCTGAATTGTCCAGATATGTGTAGGATTGTGGTGACACACGTGGTATCTATGGCGCAAATTCCGGCAGTGCCAAGCAAAGCTGCTAGGAATTGACAAACAAAGGCGATTTCAAAGTTAGGCGATTCCGTGACATCCGTTCCATACCTAATATTTAAATCAGACTTCATCAAATTTACACTTATTGTGTTTAAATGAAATATGAAATATGAAATCAGGAGATCTGTCTTCTATCTAGTTACGCCAATGCAAAAAAAATGTTTGAAGATTTACCAGACGTCAAATGGTAAATGTCGACCGTTAACACCATTGTCGTTATGTTCGCTTCTAATGTAATCACAAGCTGCTGAAATTGTGAAAATAATCACAGTCGTCGTCCCGGACGAATAGAAGATGATCGAACAAATTCGTGCCCAGTAAGCGAATTCTTCGTAAGATTGCCTTTCTTTAGGATCGTCAGTGGACTCCCAGAGACTTCTTAATTCTTTATACAATCCACATGATTTCTCTCGTCTTGCTACTAGATAAATTTTTTTGAATAAAAGCTGTGCAAGAGTTGTTGAAACACAGCCGACTCCTAATTAAATAAGAAAAAATTCATACTATCAGAAGACAGACCCAATAGTTATCAAAATACATCAAAGTCCAACACGTTGATTGCCACAGAAAATTTTGTGATTTTTAATATTTCATTAAATTAAATTTGTAATGTCGATCACTGGTGAATCCAATGGCAAGCAACGCGTTAATTAGGTGCACAAAATACTTCTCAGTGTTACACTAAAGTTTATTTTATATTGTATTACGAATTTAGTTTAATTTAAATTTTTCAAATAATTACGCTATCTAATATTGTAGAATTACAATAGGCTCTCGATAACTTGTCGCACTCGGGAATATAGGGGAAGAAATTTCTCGAAAACAGCAACTTAACAAATACCCCAACGTTTTTTCCTTTTTATTTTTTCGTTTGCCGAAGGGGAAATACATTTACATACGCCTAGGTGATCCCCAATCGCCTATTCGGCTAAGGAGGCCCAAGCAGTGTGAGACGCACCATCGCCCCTATGACGAGTGACGTCCTACCCACTAAAACACCTCCGCAGGGTGGGCGGCCTGTACTGTTTCACCGGCCCAATCATAAAGCTAACTTGTCACAGAGGCAAGAGATAAGGATAAGTATAACAGAATAAAGTAAAACCTCGATAAGTCATCACTAAAGGGACCGAGAAATTTTGACGACTTAAGCGGAGTAAAAACAATGTAAATTTTAAAATGACGAGGAAAGGAACACGACTTATGTGGGTGACGACTTATAGAGGTTTTACTGTATTTCCAAAGCAATTGAATACCTAGAAAAACCACATGCTGGTGTACGAGATTACGTGTGAATGTTGATAGACCACTTCGAATAATTATCAAGAGTCTACTGTAAATTAAATTCACACTGTCCATCACTGACTACAACTCTAACATGCAAATTACTCAACTGATTTTATCCAGTTACCTGTCAGAATTTTCAGATCACCCCAGTTCACCGCAATTAGGAAAAGTCCCGGCACGAAAACGCTAAAGAGAGCAATTAAAGATAATGTGTACAGGAAGTATGCGAATACTTTGCTGCAGATCGAGCGTTTTTCATCAGGAGGCCATATGCCAATCATACTGCACAAGATCTTGTTCGGCAGTAAGTAATAATCAATCGAGTTCCTCGGCAGTTTTCTCATGTTCACCCTCCACAAGAACTTCATCGCTTGTCAGAGGGTTCGTTTTTTTCCAGTGTTGAAGTAACAATGTCCCCTAACTGAGAATTCTTTATAACATAATTACACAGTGGACAAGAAGTCATGTACTCCTTCCACCACAAGCAACTTGCAATATTAATCTCACCACTCAGTTGCAACATTTCCAACGTTCATTTTTTGATACATGGTTTCAGGAATAGTTTATGCTGTAAGTATCGTGAGGTAGTATGAGAACATCCTTTCCCCAACTGGGTTGCAACTTTTATAAGTCTAGAAAAACACGTAGCTAGTAAAGGACTGGATTATACGTATACTTAGCATCACGAAGGGAAATAAGGAGACTTGGTCTTTTGCTTCTTTTGCCAAGAACAGTGTTCGCTGGTGCTTTGATGTGGCAAGTACTGTGATAGGTGCAAACTTCATTTGTGTGTTCTGTCATGGTGCATTGATGATTGAACAAAAGAGCCTGGGGTAATCGTGACCTAAGCTAACAAAACATATACAAGAATCTTAATCTATATTTGAACGTGTAGTTTTGAAACGAAAAAGTTCCATATGTACTAAAATATTTCAAAATACAAAATTAAATTAAAATTAGAGTTTTCTTCATGGTCCGTCGTCCGAAGGTTAAGTAATCACCGACAAATCGTACACAATTACAGAGGTATGTTTTACTGTTTCTTCAAAAACCTTTTGCAGCCTGTAGATTCCAGTTATCATAACATTGAGACTTCATTCTCTTGCATTTGACGCAATAAAGCGAAATAAGAGGTGGCTGTATTAAATACCTGAAAAAAAGTTTCCATTTTATTTTTACGCAAATGCTGTAACAAATCCTTTCATTTTACCATTTCATGACAGTACTTGAACAATAAGGAATGATTGAAGAAAAAAATTACATATAATTTACATAAAATACTTACACTTGTTAAAGTATGAATAGACAACGTTTGAAACGTTAATGCAGAAATACTGCAGAATTTCTGCGATCTGAGGATTATAAGTAGAAGCTGCCTTCTATATATCGGTGGTAATTCATACCATGGTACATGCAGATAAACTGCGTATCCTATTTCCTGACTTTCCTGAATCAAAATTGCACCAGGCCAGCACCATAATAAAAGTTGTATCATCATCGTTGATAAGTAAGAGATAAATTTAAATAAATCTGTGCTTGAACCATTACTCATAACTGCGAATCCACTTAAACAAATCTCCAGTCCACTCGTGAGGAGTTGCAGAAAAATGATGGGGGTTAATAAATCATTAACATCATTCACCACACTAAACCGAAGTAATGATACACTTAAATGTTAAAAGTTTAATTTAAATAATAGAAAGAGGAGTTTATTGCTTACTTTATTAATCGTTGATGATGACGAATGCACCTGATTAGATCTGTTGCCAAATTCCACGAACAATCGGATACATAATTAGTAGAATGGCATCTTATTTTGATCCCAATATTACTCATCCATGTGCTGATTAATCTGAATTGTCCAGATACGTGTAGGATTGTGGTGACACACGTGGTATCTACGGCGCCAATAGCGACGGCGCAAAGCAAAGCTGCTAGGAATTGGCAAACAAAGGCGATTTCAAAGTCAGGCGATTCCGTGACATCCGTTCCATACCTGATATTTAAAGCAGACTTCATAAATTGACACTTATTGTATTTAAATGAAACAGGAAATCAGTGGTATAACTTAAAAAAAGCAATTCACTTTTTTGGGGAGGTCGGGCCCACCCTGTTTGCTATCTAGCTACGTCAATGCAAAAAAAAAATGTTTGAAGTTTTACCAGGCATCAATTGGTAAATGTCGAGCTCTAACACCATTGCCGACATGTTTGTTTCTAATATAATCACAAGCTGGTGAAATCATGAACATAACCACAGACATCATCCCGGATGAATAGAAGATGATTGAACAAATTCGTGCCCAGTAAGCGAGTCCTTCGTAAGATTGTCTTTCTTTAGGATCGTCAGTGGAGTCCCAGAGACTTCTTAATTCTTTATACAATATACATGATTTCTCTCGTCTTGCTACTAGATAAATTATTTTGAATATCAGCTGTACAAGGGTCATTGAAGTACATCCGACCCCTAATTAAATAAGAAAAAATTCACACTGTCAGGAGATAGGCCCAATAGCTATCAAAATACATTGAAGTTGAACAAGTTGATTATCAAAGTATGTTTTGTGTTTTTTAATATTTCATTAAATTACATTTGTAACTTTGATCACTGGGAAATCCAATGGCATGCAACGCGTTAATTTAGTGCAGAAATTATTACTCCGTGTTAAATTAAATTTTATTTTATATTGCATTAGGAATTTAGTTTAATCACAATTTTTCAAATAATTATGCTATATCTATATCATAGGATTACAATAGGCTTTGGCTAGGTTATATAGCGGACTCGGGGATATAGGAGAAGGTTAATAAGCCTTGAGAAGGTTAATCAGCCGCTGCGAATAATTTTAATAATTTTAAATTAAATTCACTCTGTCCGTCACTGACTACAATTCTAACATGCAAACTACTCAATTGATTTCATCCAATTACCTGTCAGAATATTCAGATCACCCCAGTTCACAGCAATTACCAAAAGTCCAGGCACGAAAATGCTAAAGGCAGCCAGTAAAGAGAATATGAACCGGAAGTATGCGAATATTTTGCTGGAGATCGAGTGTTTTTCATCGGAAGGCCACATGCCAATCACACTGCACATGATCTTGTTCGGCAGTATGTAATAATCAATCGAGTTCCTCGGTAGTGTTTCCATGTTCTCCCTCCACACGAGCTTGATCGCGTGTCAGAGGGTTCGTGTTTTTTCCAGTGTTGAAGTAACAATGTCCCCTAACTGAGAATTCTTTATAACAAAATTATACAGTGGACAGGAAGTCATGTATCCCTTTCACCACAAGCAACTTGCAATATTAATGTCATCACTCAGGTGCAACATTTCCATCGTTCATTTTTTGATACATAGTTTCAGGAATAGTTTATGCTGTAAATATAGTGAGGTAGCACGAGAAAATCCTTTCCCTAACTGGGATGCAACTTTTATAAGTCTAGAAAAATACGTAGCTAGTAACCCAACTGGATTAAACGTATACTTAGCATCACGAAGGGAATAAAGGAGACTTGGTCTTTTGCTTCTTTCGCCAAGAACAGTGTTCGCTGGTGCTTTGATATGGCAAGTACTGTGATAGGTGCAAACTTAATTTGTGTGTTCTGTCATGGTGCATTGATGATTGAACAAAAGAGCCTGGGGCAATCGTGACCCAAGTTAACAAAACATATACAAAATTATTAATCCATAGTTGTATGTGTAATTTTTAAACGAAAAAGTTTCATATGTTGTAAAATAATTCTACATACAAAACTAAATTAAGATTAGTGCTTTCTACAACGTCCACCGTCCGAAGGTTAACTCATCACCTACAAATCTTGCACAATTATACAGCTATATTTTATTATTTCTTCCAAAGCTTTTTACAACACGGGAGAAACCATATATTCCCACTATCATAAATTTGACACTTCTTTCTCTTGTATTTGACGTAATAAAGCGAAATAGGAAGTGGCTGTATTAAATACCTGAAAAGAAGTTCCTATTTTATTTTTACGTAAATGCTGAAACAAATCAATTCATTTCATAATTTAACGAATGTACTTGAACAATAAATCATGAGGAATGAATGAAGAAAAAAACAACTTACATATGTTAGAGTATGAATAGACAATGTCTGAAACGTTAATGCCGAAATACTGCAGTACTTCTGCGATCTGAGGATTATAAGTAGAAGCTGTCTTCTATAAATCGGTGATAATTTATACCATGGTACATGCTGATAAACTGCATATCCTATTTCCTCACTTTCCTGCACCAAAATTTCACCTGGCCAGCACCATAATAAAAGTTGTATCATCATCGATGATAAGTAAGAGACAAATTTAAATAAATCAGCGCTTGAACCATTACTCATAACTGCGAATCCACTTAAACAAATCTCTATTCCACTCGTAAGGAGTTGCAGAAAAATGATGGGTGTTAATAAATCATTAACGTCATTCACCACACTGTACAAAAGAAATGATACAGTTAAATGTTTGAAGTATAATTTAAATGTTAGAAATAGTATTTTATCGCTTACTTTATTAATCGTTGATGATGACGAATACACCTGATTAAATCTGTTGCCAAATTCCCAGAACGATCAGATACATAATTAGTAGAATGGCATCTTATTTCGATCCCAATATTATCGATCCACGTGCTGATTAGTCTGAATTGTCCAGATACGTGTAGGATTATGGTGACACACGTCGTATCTACGGCACAAATTGCGACGGTGCAAACCAAAGCTGCTAGGAATTGACAAACAAACGCGATTTCAAAGTTAGGCGATTCCGTGACATCCGTTCCATACCTAATATTCAAATCCACACATCATAAATTCACACTTATAGTATTTATATGAAATATGAAATCATTGGTATAACTTGAGAAAAGCAATTCACATTTTTGGGGAAATCGGACCCATCCTGTCTCCTGTCTAGTTATGCCAATGCATAGAGAAATGTTTGAAGTTTTACCAGAGATCAATTGGTAAATGTCGACCGTTATCACCATTGCCGATATGTCCGTTGCTAATACAATCCCAGGCTGCTGAAGTTGTGAACATAAACACAGTCATCGTCCCGGACGAATAGAAGATGATCGAATAAATTCGTGCCGAGTAAGCGAATTCTTCGTAAGATTGCCTTTCCTTAGGATCGTCAGTAGAGTCCCAGAGGCTTCTTAATTCTTTATACAATCTATATGATTTGTCTCGTCTTGCTACTAGATAAATTATTTTGAATAAAAGTTGTGCAAGAGTCATCGAAGTACACCCGACTCCTAATTAAATAAGATAAAATTCACACTATCAGAGAAAAGGCCCAATAGGTATTATATTATACCTATTATCAAGATACATGGAAGTCCCGCGCGTTGATTACCACAGGAAATTGTGTTTTTTAATATTTCATTAAATTAAATTTGTAAAGTCGATCACTGGTAAAATCCATGGCAAACAACGCATTTTTTTAGTGCAGAAAATATTTCTCAGTATTATAATAAATTTCATTTTATATTGCATTAGGAATTTAGTTTAATCTAAATTTCTAAATTAATTATGCTATCTTATCATAGGATTACAATAGGCTCTCGATAACTTGTCGCACTTGGAGCAATAGGGGAAGAAATATTTTGAAAAACAGCAACCTAACAAATGCCCCAACCATATAGCTAACTTGACACAGAGAAAATACATAAAGAAGAGAATAACAGAATATTTCCAGAACAATTCAATGTCTAAACAAACCACGTGTTGGGGCACGAGATTATAAGTGAATGTTAATAGGCCACTGCGAAAAAGTATCAAGAGTCAACTGTAAATTAAATTCACATTGTCCATCACAATTGATTTCATCCAGTTACCTGTCAGAATTTTCAGATCACCCCAGTTCACTGCAATTGCCAAAAGTCCCGGCACGAAAATGCTAATGGCAGCCAGTAAAGAGAATATGAACCGGAAGTATGCGAATATTTTGCTGGAGATCGAGTGTTTTTCATCGGAAGGCCACATGCCAATCACAGTGCACATGATCTTGTTCGGCAGTATGTAATAATCAATCGAGTTCCTCGGTAGTGTTTCCATGTTCTCCCTCCACACGAGCTTGATCGCGTGTCAAAGGGTTCGTTTTTTTCCAGTGTTGAAGTAACAATGTCCCCTAACTGAGAATTCTTTATAACAAAATTATACAGAGGACAGGAAGACACGTATTCCTTTCACCACAAGCAACTTGCAATATTAATGTCATCACTCAGTTGCAACATTTCCATCGTTCTTTTCTTGATACATGGTTTCAGGAATAGTTTATGACGTAAGTATAGTGGGGTAGCACGAGAACATCCTTTCCCCAACTGGGATGCAACTTTTATGAGTCTAGAAAAACAGGTAGCTAATAATCTGACTGGGTTATACGTATACTTAGCATCACGAAGGGAAACAAGGAGACATGGTCTTTTGTTTCTTTCGCCAAGAACAGTGTTCGCTGGTGCTTTGATGTGGTGCTTTGTTGAGGTGTCAGATGGGTGCACTGACGATTGAACGAGACAGCCCGGGGAATTCGTGACCAAAGCTAACAACAAGACATATACAAGAATATTAATCTATAATTGAATGTTTAATTTTTAAACGAAAAAGTTCCATAAGTTGTAAAATAATTCAAAATACAAAATTAAATTAAGATTTGAGCTTCCTTCAAGGTCCGCCGTCCGAACATTAAGTAATCACCTACAAATCTTACACAATTACACAGCTATATTTTACTGTTTCTTCAAAAACTTTTGCAGCATGAGAGAAATTATAGATTCCAGTTATCATGATTTTGACGCTTCTTCCTCTTGCATTTGACGTAATAAAGCAAAATAAGAAGCGGCTGTATTAAATACCTGGAAAGAAGTTTCCATTTTATTTTTACGTAAATGCTGAAACAAATCATTTCATTTCACGATTTCATGACAGTACTTGAACAATAAGGAATGACGACTGATTGATGAAAAAGATTACATTTCACTTACATAAAATACTTACATTCGTTAAAGTATGAATAGACAACGTCTGAAACGTTAATGCCGAAATACTGCAGTACTTTTGCGATCTGAGGATTATAAGTAGAAGTTGTTTTCTATAAATCGGTGGTAATTTATACCATGGTACATGTAAATAAGCTGCATATCCTACTTCCTGACTTTCCTGAACCAATATTTCACCAGGCCAGCACCATAGTAAAAGTTGTATCATCATCGATGATAAGTAAGAGATAAATTTATATATATCGGCACTTGAACCATTACTCATAACTGCGAATCCACTTAAACAAATCTCTATTCCACTTGTAAGGAGTTGCAGAAAAATGATGGGCGTTAATAAATCATTAACATCATTCACCACACTGTACAAAAGAAATGATACAATTAAATGTTCCAAGTATAATTTAAATGTTAGAAATAGAATTTTATCGCTTACTTTATTAATCGTTGATGATGACGAATACACCTGATTAGATCCGTTACCAAATTCCCCGGACGATCGGATATATAATTAGTAGAATGACATTTTATTTCGATTCCAATATTACTGATCCACGTGCTGATTAATCTGAATTGTCCAGATACGTGTAGAATCGTGGTCAGACACGAGGTATCTACGGCGCAAATTGCGACGGCGCAAAGCAAAGCTGCTAGGAATTGACAAACAAAGGCGATTTCAAACCTAGGCGATTCCGTGACATCCATTCCGTACCTAATATTTTAATCAGATTCCATAAATTGACACTTATTGTATTTAAATGAAATATGAAATAATTGGTAATAATGTTTGAAGTTTTACCAGACTTCAAATGGTAAATGTCGACCGCTAACACCATTGCCGAGATGTTCGTTGCTAATATAATCAAAAACTGCTGAAACTGTGAAAATAATCACAGTCATAGTCCCAGACGAATAGAAGACGATTGAGCAAATTCGTGCCCAGTAAGCGAGTCCTTCATAAGATTTCCTTTCTTTAGGATCGTCAGTGGAATCCCAGAGACTTCTTAATTCTTTATACAATCTACATGATTTCTTTCGTCTTGCTACTAGATAAAATATTTTGAATAAACATTGTGCAAGGGTCGTTGAAACACACCCGACTCCTAATCAAATAAGAAAAAATTCGTAGTATCAAAAGACAGGCCCAATCGTTATCAAAATACATCGAGGTCCAACTCGTTGATTACCACAGTAAGTTTTTTTTTTTAATATTTCATTAAATTAAATTTGTAATGTGAATCCCATGGCAAGCAACGCGTTAATTTAGTGCAGAAAATATTTCTCAGTTTTACACTAAATTTTATTTTATATTGCATTAGGAATTTAGTTTAATCTTGATAACTTGTCGCACTCGGGAATATAGGGGAAGAAATTTCTTGAAAACCCCAACCATAAAGCTAACTTGACACAGAGGTAAGAGATAATGAAAGCATAACAGAATATTTCCAAAACAATTAAATGCCTAAACAAACTAGATGCTGGGGCGCGAATAAAGCTACAGTAAATTAAATTCATACTGTCAATCACTGATTACAATTCTAACGTGCAAATTATTAAATTGATTTCATCCAGTTACCTGTCAGAATTTTCAGATCACCCCAGTTCACCGCAATTACCAAAAGTCCAGGCACGAAAACGCTACAGGTAGCCATTATAGAGAATACGAACCGGAAGTATGTGAATAATTTGCTGGAGATCGTGCGTTTTTCATCGGGAGGCCAGATTCCAATCATACTGCACAAGATCTTGTTCGGCAGTATGTAATAATCAATCGAGTTCCTTGATAGTTTTCTCATGTTCTCCCTCCACGCGTACCTGATCGCGTGTCTGTCGAAGGGTTTGTTTTTTTCGCGTGTAGCATAACAATGTCCTCCGGGAATTCATTATAAAAATATTGCAGAGTGGACAGTGAATTACATAGGGGAATGTAAAGCTTTTGCATCCTTTCTTTTTTGATTTATGCTTCCACGAATAGTTTATACTGTAAGTTTAATGAAGTGCCATAAGAGTATCTTTTGCAAAACAGGGTTGCAAGTTTTATAAGTTTGGTCTACGCGGACCTAGTACTCTGTATAAATGATTTATTGTTGCGAAGGGTATATAGGAGACTCGGTGTTTTCTCCTCATTTTGCCGTGAACAAAGTTAACCAGTGTTTTCATATGAAAGTGAATAAAATGCAGTGAACAGTGAGGATAATAAAAGACTATAAGAGACGGAATGCGAGAGTAAAAAAAATAATTTAAGTTAATTTTATAGTGAGATGTTTTTCTTATAATATAAAAATTACTTAAAATTGCAAATTGTGCAGTATACGAAGTCCCTTATAATTAAGTACAGTTAAATACGAATAAATAACATGCTACTTTTCTCGCTGACTTTTTTGGAATCAAAAGACAAATGAACCACAACAATAAGTTACTTGTCAGCAGAAGGGCCATAATGCCACTCTTCTTTCTACTAAATTTTGTTTTGATTTTATAAAATACGATTGCACATGGACACATAATTACGCGATAATTGTAAGAAATCAATGTAGAAGAAATTAAATTCTACTTGTTTTATTAGCTACAAATCACTATTCACACGAATTATATTTGATTATTCTAACACTGGCTTAACAGCAGTGAAATCATAGATCGCAGATATCATTACTGTTAAGTTGACTGTTCTTGTATCTGTCGTAACAAAGCAAAGTAAGAGGCAGCTGTGTTGAGCACCTGGAACAAAATTCTTATTTTGAGGACTATTTTATTTTTATTCAAACATGAAAGCAAATTAACTCAATGATTAATAACTAAAATTATAGTAAACCTCTTATAGAAGGAGGAATTTCTAGGAAACGGAAACATAATAAATGCCTCTGACAGATAGCTAGCGAAAAAGCTCAGGGGCAAAAGTAATACTGAATTGCATTAATTAAAATAGATGTGGTGGGCAGTAGGCCTCTGTGGCAAGTTAACGAGATAAAAGTTATCAAGGTCTACTATAATTAACCCTCGGACGACGGACCACAGGGAGAGCCCTACGATGGCGGACGATGAAGAGAGCCACAATTTTAATTTAATCCTATATTTTATATTATTTTCATTTTATAAATTTTACAGTGTGCCTTTAAGAGTCACTCTCCGTTGTTCAAGGGTTAAATAATAATGAAATTTATAATTAATTCTATAATTTAATAATTTGAGAAGAAAATTAATTACTCACTGCTGTTAAAGTATGAATAGACATCGCTTGAAAAGTTAATGCTGAAATAGTGCAATACTTTTGCGACCTAAGAATTACTAAAGAAAGTTGTCTTCTACAAATCGGTGGTAATTTGTACCAAGGCACATTCAAATATAAAGCGCATCCAATTTCCTGACTTTCTTGAATTAAAATTTCACCAGGCCAGCAGAACAGTAGAAGCTGTATCGACATCGATAATAAATAGGAGATGAACTTGATTAGATCATTCCCTGCATCATTACTGATAACTACGAATCCACTTAGACAAATCTCCACCCCACTCGTGAGGAGCTGTACGAAAATGATGGGGGTTAATAAATCATTAACCTCATTAACCACGCTGCAGAGAAATAATAATATTGTTAAAGTGCTGCAAGAATTTTATTATAAAATGATGGATGATGCTTACTTTATCAATCGTTGATGATGGCGGATGCATTTGATCAGTTCCGTTGCTAAATTCGACGGGCTATTATGCGAATAATCCAACTGCCTGCAATTCATTTTGATCCCTATATTAATGAACCATGTGCTTATTAATCGAAATTGACCGGATAAATGTAAAATTGCGGTCATACACGTGCAATCCAAGCCGCAAATTGCGAAACAGCATGTGAATGATGCTGCCATTTGACCAGCGAAGATGATCTCGAAGTCAGGTGATCTTATGGAGTCTATTCCGTTCCTATATTAATTTTAATTCCATTTCATTTTAATCTCTGATACCTCGAAACATTCAGTCGATAAAGATTAAATTTCAGATGATACTTTTATTAATTATTCGTTTACGTTTTTTAACACTACTAATGTAATTACTAAAAAAAAAAAAAAAAAGAAGAAATACAGATTTCAGTTTAAAAGAATAAATTTTACCAGACATCATACGGTAAATGTCGGGTGCTCTCAGTACCATTGTTGGTGTACATGTCTTTAATGTAATCAAACGTCCCTGAGATCATGAA